TGTCTAATAAAAGTGATAATATCTGTGACACATCGGTGTTGGGGTCCTGTGTGCAGACAATCAGCCTCTTTCTGCTCTCCTCCCCACTCGTCATATCACTGAAACAACACAGAGGAGGAGAAGTGAGAAGATCGATGTGATTTGTTATATACAGTATACATATAAAAGTGATATAAAGAAATGCTGTATACAGATCCTGGGTGACATTCAGGACGGACCTCTCTCTGTAACAGTCATGATGTCTATTTATGGGACTGAGGACCGCCAGTCCTGAATGTGCCATAGGGGCGCTCATGGGCCACTGCCTAGGGCAGCAGGTTAGAGGGGTAAGTCCAGGACATGACATGTGATGTGTTCTCTTATTACTTTGCTTCCCTCTTCTGTTCTCTGGACATTTGTGGATAAATTCAGCAAGATAATCACTCATGGAGGCAGTAGAGGGGATATTAGGATGAGTCACAAGACTCATTACAGTTCAAGTAACATGAAAAAGTGTATATGCAGGTTAGTGAGCGCACTCTAACAAGCGGCTATTGCACTGAAAAGGAACCACAAAACCTTTCTATCTAAAATTGGCAAAATGAAGAGTGCAGCGCTACAAAAATAGAAAAAAAAATTGTCCTTATAACAGGTAAGATGAATGAGTAACTAGCAGTAAAATGTCCGATGCAGCCGTATTGAGGTAAGTAGTCCAAATATGAAAAAAACTTCAAACAACGCCGATGTAATCCAATCCAATACGGAGGAGTAGGTAAGATGCCCACTTACCAGAAGCGCAATCTTAATGCCCATGTAAAGATGACATGTAGCCGAGGTCTTGTGTAGGTACTGCCTGGTAATACACTGGTGGTCCCTCAATGGTATGGGGATACCGGTCTGGTCAGATCACACTGTTCCTTAGATCCACACAGAAGCCTGAAAATGCTGGGGCTGAGGTATGGAGGCTCAGTGCCAGGTATACAAAGTAAAGGTGCCCATAGTGTAGTAGTATTTGAAAGAGGTTTATTAGGAGGAGCCTTCGCACGCCTTGACGTCACGCCGCCGGATCAGGAGGTCCGGCGGCCAACCTTTGATTCTCACTGGTCAGTGTTTTTAGGTGTTTTTAACAGCCTTTATAATTATCTACAGGCTGCAGGCACTTTTAGTGTACGTGTATTATATTTTTTATGTATTGGTATTGGATTAATAAACCTCTTTCAAATACTACTACACTATGGGCACCTTTACTTTGTATACCTGGCACTGACCCTCCATACCTCAGCCCAGCATTTTCAGGCTTCTGTGTGGATCTAAGGAACAGTGTGATCTGACCAGTCCGGTATCCCCATACCATTGAGGGGCCCCCAGTGTATTACCAGGCAGTACCTACACAACACCTCGGCTACATGTAATCTTTACATGCGCATTAGGATTGCGCTTCTGGTAAGTGGGCATCTTACCTACTCCTCCGTATTGGATTGGATTACATCAGCGCTGTTTGAAGTTTTTTTCATATTTGGACTACTTACCTCATTTGATACCTCGTGTCCCAATGGGGAGATCTCCCTTCACATTCTGTCCCATAGCCAAACAGGAATTGAGAGGAAATCCCTCCAAAGTGAGAGAATCTGGTTGTCACCATATCTAGTGTCCCCATTGGAAGATTTCTCCTCTATTTCTGTTCTGGTGACAACCCACAATGTGGGATTTTCTTGCACTTTCACTCTCAGTGATAATGGGAAACAGGACAAATAGAGAGAGTGGTGAATTTTTTTTATTGATTTTTTTTTTTAATCCAATTTTTAGTTTTTTATTAATAACCTTTTGTTCATTATTTATATTTTATTCTATTTTTTACAATGTAATTTACTCTTTATAATGTAATTTGCATGTACTATTACCAATATGTTTATCATCCTACCATGTTAGCACCCATTGTCAATATACCCGCTAGGAACATGTATAGATGTCATAATTATCATGAAGCTCCTGTAGAGCCACAAGCAGATCCCACCCTGCAATCATGCTGTATGACCACCAAATATCTGCTCTCTACTGTTACATTGATGTCCCAGTGCTGCAAGGTGAACCTTTTACCCCACTAATCTCACAAATTTTGTAAATTTAATAATTTAATTTTAATCTTATAACATATATATATATACACCACTATACATTTTTTTAATTTCTTAATTCTTTAATTTTTTGATTTTTTTTAGCTCTGCTTCCTTTTTTATTCTGTATTCTTATTACCCCCATCAACTTTTTTTTTCACATAGCTTCTTCAATTTTCAACTGTTCAAAAATCTTTTATTAATGTCATTTTTTCATTTCATTAATTGTTTTCATTTTTTCATCATTTTTTCATTTCATCATTTTTCTTTCTTTTTTCTTATTTATTACATCCTCTGTTTTTTCCATTTGGTTTCCTTTACCCCCCCCCCCCCATTTTTAACATCCATGACTTTACACTATTCACCTTACAGCAATGGTCAATCACTGGTTAATTGGTTAATTGATCAATTAGACTCACATTCCCTATATATTCACCCCTGTTCATCTACCTCCCCCTGCTTGAAAAAGGAGCACACATCCGCCTTCCACGGCCAGCACATGCTCCGAAACGTGTCACAGTGCACCCTGAGATCTGACGTCATCACGGCCACGCCGCCGCTGCGTTCCATCTGGCTCTGAGGGAGGATGTACACGTCGGCCGGCCTCACCGCTGTTCCCCTCCAGCCACCACGCTGTTCCAGCCAAGAGCTGGCCTCCCCACATCGCAGAGAGATGACGGCTCCTCACCCGGGTCACCACCCCCCCGGTAACTATTGGTAACCACGTTTTTTATGCTTATGATGACGTCACACATGTGAGTGTTTCTACATTCAGACTTGAATAAAAAGACTTATTGCACTTAGAGGCGCTTCTCTCCTTTTTCTCATCTACAGAAGTTGCTACAGCCTGTTTGGAAGCCCTCAGTGCCACACGGAATCCTACGCTCTTCATACAGCAGCCACTAATCCCACCATCACCCCATACTACCATTTCCCAGGACTTTGCAGTGTTTGCGCTGTTACAACCCTTCCTCATTTTTTCTGCAGCCATAGAATTCCCTGCCCTGAAGACATTCCTAAAAAGGAGCGGGGAGGCTGGTGATATCATCATCCTAAAATGGCCACATGGTTAGACTTGGTCCAGGACATTCTCCAAATATGACCACGGGCCACATAGGATCAATGATGTCACCAGTATCCCCCCCCCCCCCCAGCCACATAAAACTAAATTCAACGGCTGCAGCTGATTGGGCCGCTGACAGTTTCTGGCTGATCTTATCTCATCTTTAACCCCTCAGCTACAGGACACTTCTACCCCCTTCCTGCCTACAGGACACTTCTACCCCCTTCCTGCCTACAGGGCACTTCTACCCCCTTCCTGCCTGCAGGGCACTTCTACCCCCTTCCTGCCTACAGGGCACTTCTACCCCCTTCCTGCCTATCGGGCACTTCTACCCCCTTCCTGCCTACCGGACACTTCTACCCCCTTCCTGCCTACCGGGCACTTCTACCCCCTTCCTGCCTACAGAGCACTTCTACCCCCTTCCTGCCTGCAGGACACTTCTACCCCCTTCCTGCCTACAGGGCACTTCTACCCCCTTCCTGCCTATCGGGCACTTCTACCCCCTTCCTGCCTACCGGACACTTCTACCCCCCCCCTGCCTACCGGGCACTTCTACCCCCTTCCTGCCTACAGAGCACTTCTACCCCCTTCCTGCCTACAGGGCACTTCTACCCCCTTCCTGCCTACCGGACACTTCTACCCCCTTCCTGCCTACAGAGCACTTCTACCCCCTTCCTGCCTACAGGGCACTCCTACCCCCTTCCTGCCTACAGGGCACTTCTACCCCCTTCCTGCATACAGGACACTTCTACCCCCTTCCTGCCTACAGAGCACTTCTACCCCCTTCCTGCCTACAGAGCACTTCTACCCCCTTCCTGCCTACAGGACGCTTCTACCCCCTTCCTGCCTACTGGTCACTTCTACCCCCTTCCTGCCTACAGGACACTTCTACCTCCTTCCTGCCTACTGGGCACTTCTACCCCCTTCCTGCCTACAGGACACTTCTACCTCCTTCCTGCCTACTGGGCACTTATACCCCCTTCCTGCCTACCGGGCACTTCTACCCCCTTCCTGCCTACCGGGCACTTCTACCCCCTTCCTGCCTACCCCATCTTCCTGCCTACAGGCACTTCTACCCCCTTTCTGCCTACAGGACACTTCTACCCCCTTCCTGCCTACAGGGCACTTCTACCCCCTTCCTGCCTACAGGGCACTTCTACCCCCTTCCTGCCTACCGGGCACTTCTACCCCCTTCCTGCCTACCGGGCACTTCTACCCCCTTCCTGCCTACCGGGCACTTCTACCCCCTTCCTGCCTACCGGACACTTCTACCCCCTTCCTGCCTACAGGGCACTTCTACCCCCTTCCTGCCTACCGGGCACTTCTACCCCCTTCCTGCCAAGGTCAATTTCCAGCTTTCACTGCTGTCACACTTCAAATGACAATTGCGCGGTCATGCAACACTGCACTCATATGAAATTTTTATAATTTTTTTGTGACAGAGCTTTCTTTTGGTGGTATTTAATCACCTCGGGGATTCTTATTTTTTCTTAAAGAAACCAAAAACCACTGAAAATTTTGAAAAAAAAAAGTTTTTCTTAGTTTTTGTCATAAAATTTTGCAAATAAGTCATTTTTCTCCTTCACTGATGTGCGCTAATGAGGCTGCAGTGATGGGCACTGATAGGCTGCACTGATGGGCACACTGATGAGGAGGCACTGGTAGGTGGCACTGATGGGCATTGACAGGTATCTCTGATGGGCACTGAAAGGCAGCACTGATATATGGCACTGAGGCGGCACTGACTGGCACTGATATATGGCACTGTTAGGTGGCACTGACTGGCTCTGTTAGGCGGCACTGACGGGCACTGATAGGCAGCACTGGTGCGCACTGATAGGCAGCACTGACTGGCACTGACAGGTGGCACTGATTGGCAACACTAATAGGTGGCACTGATTGGCAACACTAATAGGTGGCACTGATTGGCATTGATAGGTGGCACTGAAGGGCAGCTCAGATGGGCACTGATATATGGGAATTGATGCGCACTGATAGGCACTGATATGTGGCATTGATGTGCACTGGCACATGGCACTGTTCAGCACTGACAGCTGGCACCGATGGACACTGACAGCTAGAATTGATGGACACTGACAGGTGGCACTGATGGGGCCACACTGATCATCAGTGCCCTGATGATCAGTGCCCATGTCCCCTCCGTGGAAAGCCGATTACCGTCTCTCCTCTCCTCTGTCAGTGTGACAGCTCGTGAGGAGAGGAATGCTGATAACCGGCATTTCCCTATTTACATGTGATCAGCTGTGATTGGGCACAGCTGATCACATGACCGAGCCAACATCTTCGGCTCTGTCCGTGGATCGGTGATCCGCTGTGTCCGAAGGACACAGTGCACCGCCGATCGCCACGCTGCACGCTCCCTGAGCCGCGCATGCACGCTAAGAATGGGAGGACGTCATGTGACGTCCTCCCAGAACAAGAGAACCGCCTTGCGTCCATCATTGGACTATATGGTGAGAGGCGGTTAAAGAGACTCTTCTGCACTCCTCAGTACATATAGAAATGATTGCTGGGCCTTTATGTTACAAAGTATAGACAGATGTTTAGAATGGACTTGGATAATCTTACCGTTCTGCTTCCCGACCATTCGGTGCCTCTCCCTGCACATTCAGTTCTGCTTTCTGATCATTCGGTGCCTCTCCCTGCACATTCAGTGCTGCTTCCTGATCAATCGGTGCCTCTCCATGCACATTCAGTGCTGCTTCCTGATCAATCGGTGCCTCTCCATGCACATTCCGTGCTGCTTTCTGATCAGTCGGTGCCGCTCCCTGCACCCTGCACATTCAGTTCTGCTTTCTGATCATTCGGTGCCTCTCCATGCACATTCAGTGCTGCTTCCCTGATCAATCGGTGCCTCTCCATGCACATTCAGTGCTGCTTTCTGATCAATCGGTGCCGCTCCATGCACATTCCGTGCTGCTTCCTGATCAATCGGTGCCTCTCCATGCACATTCCGTGCTGCTTTCTGATCAATCGGTGCCGCTCCATGCACATTCCGTGCTGCTTTCTGATCAATCGGTGCCGCTCCATGCACATTCCGTGCTGCTTCCTGATCAATCGGTGCCTCTCCATGCACATTCAGTGCTGCTTTCTGATCAATCGGTGCCGCTCCATGCACATTCCGTGCTGCTTTCTGATCAATCGGTGCCGCTCCCTGCACATTCAGTGCTGCTTTCTGATCAATCGGTGCCTCTCCATGCACATTGCGTGCTGCTTTCTGATCAATCGCTGCCGCTCCATGCACATTGCGTGCTGCTTCCTGATCAATCGGTGCCTCTCCATGCACATTCCGTGCTGCTTCCTGATCAATCAGTGCCTCTCCATGCACATTCAGTGCTGCTTTCTGATCAATCGGTGCCACTCCCTGCACATTCCGTGCTACTTTCTGATCAATCGGTGCCGCTCCCTGCACATTCAGTGCTGCTTCCTGATCAATCGGTGCCGCTCCATGCATATTCAGTGTTGCCCCCCTCTTCCCCTGGTGCTGCCATTTCCTTCTCTCTCCTTTTCTCTGATCACAGCCGGTCTCTGGTCAGTAATGGTTGTATTCTCGTCTTCTCCTCTCCCTGGGATAATGTCTGTATACAGGGGAGGGGGTGGAAATGTCGCTCCACCTTACAGAAATATGCGCGATTGCTTTCACTTTCACATCAAGCAAACCTATGTCCAGGGGCGGACTGACCGTCTGGAAACTCGGGCACTGCCCGAGAGTCTGGGGTCAGTAGGGGGCCCCATGAGATGCCCCTGGTCCCTTTTTCATAGGCTTTTTTGAGTTTGGACAAGGACACAGGGGCCCCATGATCCCCTATTGCCCGGGGGCCCCATGAGTTGTCAGTCCGTTCCTGCCTATGCCTTCATGGTATTTAGAAGAGACGCAGATGTTCCTTTTGTGTCAGAGAAAACCGGACAGTCATGTTTAAATCCAAATGTCAAAAACTTGTAAAAAGTAAAGTGGACCTGTCAGTAACTGCACCAGACTGTATGAATAATTCCTGATATGTCCCAATGTACAGCGACAGGGTCATTGCTCAGAAAATCTCCACCTTTTATCACTGAAAATTCATCCTTGATCTCCAGTCAGTGACTTTGCCTAGGCAGAGATGATGTCTTTACTCTGCTGCAGTCAGGAGGGAGCATTCCACAAAAATGGAAACGAAGAAAAGCCACCAATAATAACACCAATACTTTGTGTCCTAGTACTATCTCCGACTCACTTATCGTAGAAGTGTGGATTTATAAACCGGGGAATGCATAATAGAAAATATGGTAGTGTGACAAGAGCAACACCACCCAAAGGGAAAGTGGTTACTTAAACATCCACGCGGAGTAATATAGGTTCAGTAATTACAAAGAGTACTTTATTTTGATCACATAGATCATAGGGAGGTTGAGCACGAGCACAGTGAACATATCAAACAAAATAAAATCATTTAAAAGCACTTAGCGTCCTCATTTCTGGGTGGTTTGGGCACATAGGGAACCATATAAGGCAATAGGATTTCCTAGCAATATACTCCTAAGTTTGCATATAGTCCAGTCTTGTATTTAGATTGACCATGTAGTCTTCTGATAAATTCTTGGTATATGCCAGAATATGTAGCGTAAATTCCTGGTGAGTAGAAACTAGAACACGGAAAGATGGTGATCAAAGACTTTAAATAACATATATATCGCACCAACTCTACCCCATGTAAAGATGAACTATTACTCCCATTACCTTCTCAGTAACTTGGCTGTCATACCAGCATGATGAGTGTAGAGACTTCCTGGGTAACCACCCCAAGTGAAACAAAGTCCACAATAACAGGTGATTCTAAGGATATATATAAAAATATATAGATCATAAGCATCAGGCAGAATCCTTGAATAAAGACAACAAAATAAAGGTATATATTACCATCAATGATGATCAAGAGGACTTCACGTAGACTTGAAATAAGATCAGGTCCTTTCTGCTTGTTTAGTAGTGTATATATTAGTGGAAAGCCAGGTAGTCTCAAAACATAAACTTCAAAAAGAGTAGTATATACCGTATTTTTCGCACTAAGACGCACTTTTTTCCCCCCAAAAAAGGGGGGGAAATGTCAGTGCGTCTTATGGAGCGAATATGGAGCGGCCGGTCCGGTATTTCCACTGCCGCCGTGTCAGAATACCGGGCCGGCCGCTCAGCTCTACAGCGGGACCTTATAGAGATGACTGCTGACCTTTGGGGAGGGGGGGAGCGGGTACCTGAATTTGACAGATACCCGCTCCCACTTCCGTGGAGTTGTTCTTTCATCTTACCTGTTCCTCTATCCAGCGGCGCGGTCTTCCCGGCTTCTGTAGTGTGGGCATGACCGCCGGGTGCCAAGTGCGCATGCGCAGGAAGCGGTGCTTTTTGTGAATGGTAAGGGCGGCACCTGGGACACATGACAGATCCCAGAAGCCGCCGGACCAATCACAAAGCGCAAGTGCTTCTTGCTCATGCGCACTGGGCACCCGGCTGTCATGCCGAGCGCCATTACAGAAGTCGGGAAGACAGCGCGCGGCTGGATCGAGGAACAGGTAAGATGAAAGAACAACTCCGCGGAAGTGGGAGCGGGTATCTGTCAAATTCAGGTACCCGCTCCCCCCCCTCCCCAAAGGTCAGCAGTCATCCCCTGTACTATCCACAGTCTCTGGTCGTCCCTGTGCTGTCCGCAGTCTCTGGTCATCCCTGTACTGTGTCCGCAGTCTCTGGTCATCTCCTGTACTGTGTCCGCAGTCTCTGGTCATCTCCTGTACTATGTCTGCAGTCTCTGGTCATCTCCTGTACTGTGTCCGCAGTCTCTGGTCATCCCTGTACTGTATCCCGCAGTCTCTGGTCATCCCTGTACTGTGTCCGCAGTCTCTGGTCATCCCTGTACTGTGTCCGCAGTCTCTGGTCATCTCCTGTACTGTGTCCGCAGTCTCTGGTCATCCCTGTACTGTGTCCGCAGTCTCTTGTCATCTCCTGTACTGTGTCCGCAGTCTCTGGTCATCCCTGTACCGTGTCCGCAGTCTCTGGTCATCCCTGTACCGTGTCCGCAGTCTCTTGTCATCTCCTGTACCGTGTCCGCAGTCTCTGGTGATCCCCTGCACTGTGTCCGCAGTCTCTGGTCATCTCCTGTACCGTGTCCGCAGTCTCTGGTCATCTCCTGTACTGTGTCCGCAGTCTCTGGTCATCTCCTGTACTATGTCCGCAGTCTCTGGTCATCTCCTGTACTATGTCCGCAGTCTCTGGTCATCCCTGTACTGTGTCCGCAGTCTCTGCTCATCTCCTGTACTGTGTCCGCAGTCTCTGGTCATCTCCTGTACTGTGTCCGCAGTCTCTGGTCATCTCCTGTACTGTGTCCGCAGTCTCTGCTCATCTCCTGTACTGTGTCCGCAGTCTCTGCTCATCTCCTGTACTGTGTCCGCAGTCTCTGCTCATCTCCTGTACTGTGTCCGCAGTCTCTGGTCATCTCCTGTACTGTGTCCGCAGTCTCTGGTCATCTCCTGTACTGTGTCCGCAGTCTCTGGTCATCTCCTGTACTGTGTCCGCAGTCTCTGGTCATCTCCTGTACTATGTCCGCAGTCTCTGGTCATCTCCTGTACTGTGTCCGCAGTCTCTGGTCATCTCCTGTACTGTAGCCGCAGTCTCTGGTCATCTCCTGTACTGTAGCCGCAGTCTCTGGTCATCCCCTGAACTGTGTCCGCAGTCTCTGGTCATCCCCTGCACTGTGTCCGCAGTCTCTGGTCATCTCCTGTACTGTGTCCGCAGTCTCTGGTCATCTCCTGAACTGTGTCCGCAGTCTCTGGTCATCCCCTGCACTGTGTCCGCAGTCTCTGGTCATCTCCTGTACTGTGTCCGCAGTCTCTGGTCATCTCCTGTACTGTGTCCGCAGTCTCTGGTCATCTCCTGAACTGTGTCCGCAGTCTCTGGTCATCTCCTGTACTGTGTCTGCAGTCCATTAGTTCAGAATTTTTTTTTCCTGTTTTCTGCCTCTAAAACCTAGGTGCGTCTTATGGTCAGGTGCGTCTTATGGAGCGAAAAAATACGGTATGTAGCAGGCAGTATATACCTGGATCTATATACCCAGTAGAGGGTTTCCAAAAATTGCTCAAACTGAGATAACAGGGCGGTTCCTTAGGGATATAACCATATCACAGCATATAGCACATGTGTGACATAGAATACATATATTCCTCCACAGAGGATTTCCAAAAAATTCCCTGAAAAAGCAGGGGTACTAGGCACATAAAAATTCCATATGGGCTTAATAAGCCTAACCAGCTACTGACCGCTAACTTAGCCAAATAAGCAAAAAATAACTTGCCACCGGTGGAAGGTATGCT